GTTTCAATATATATTAATGGCTGAGCCATTATTCTCCTGCCCACCTTGCATTTTTTTTTTTCCCTTTTTTGTCTTTTTTCATGACCGGTAACGGGATCGCAACCCTCGGTGTCGTGCCTGTACCGTGACCTGCAACGGGATCGCAACCGTTGGTGTCGCACCCGCACCGTGCTCAACCACTCTCTATATGGGATCTGAACCCTCGGCAGGAGCGCCGCCGTGCCCCAAGTGCCGCACTCTACCGAGTGCACCACCAGGCTGGCCCCCACCTTGCATTTTACAACTTTCTTACCTGGTGTCTTCTGACACCAACTGCTGGATTCCCATAGATGTACTATAATGGGTACAGCTTCCAGGTCAGTGCCCTACTTTACACCATGTGCCCTTTCTCTATGATTGATAAGTGTGAATTGCTGGATTTATAATTTAAATGAATATCTGCACTCACCCTTTCACCTGTGTTCACTGTCATTTTCAAGCCTCAACTGGAACAAAAAAGGCAGAGGTGCATACACTAAAAGGAGGAAATGGGTAAGGTGTAGAGGGTGGTGTCTGTGCTCGACAGAATGTAGTGTGTCAAAACTCAACAAAGGTGTTGGCATAATTTCTAAAATTATTTAAATTTATAGTTGATGTCAAAGGGGTTACTTTATTTTGATGATTGTGTTTTAACCAATACAAAAGTAAAATGATCATAATGTTTGAATTCTCTCTTTTTAAGAGACATATTTGATCTTTTTTGAGTAGTTTTAGGTTTATAGGAAAATGAGTAGAAAGCACAGAGGGTCCACATACACCCCTTTCCCCAGTCATCCTTATTATTAATGTCTTACCTTGGTGTGGCACATTTGTTAAAATTGTTGAGCCAATGCTGATACATTATTATTAACTAACGTCTGTAGTTTGCACCAGGGTTCTTTCTTTGTGTTGTATATTCTATGGGTTCTGACAAATGTGTAATGACGTGTCCACTATTACAGTATCACATGGAGTAGTTTCACTGCCCCCAGATCCCCTGTCGCCTTTAAAAAATTTAATGTTTCATTTTCTCAAAGGGGGAAAATGTGATTTTTCTTTTTTTTTTTTNTGAGTAGTTTTAGGTTTATAGGAAAATGAGTAGAAAGCACAGAGGGTCCACATACACCCCTTTCCCCAGTCATCCTTATTATTAATGTCTTACCTTGGTGTGGCACATTTGTTAAAATTGTTGAGCCAATGCTGATACATTATTATTAACTAAAGTCTGTAGTTTGCACCAGGGTTCTTTCTTTGTGTTGTATATTCTATGGGTTCTGACAAATGTGTAATGACGTGTCCACTATTACAGTATCACATGGAGTAGTTTCACTGCCCCCAGATCCCCTGTCGCCTTTAAAAAATTTAATGTTTCATTTTCTCAAAGGGGGAAAATGTGATTTTTCTTTTTTTTTTTTTCAGGAATCAAGATTTAGAAATGTAGTACAAATGTAATATTTGTTTAAAATATAACTTGTTAATGATTTTTAAAATTTTACAATATCTGGGTTTGATAGTTTTAAACATGGTTAACTCACACAAATTCATACAATGCCAACTGAAACATGCAGGAAATTGTAGCAGGTATTTATTAGCTTATAGTTCCATTTAGCAACAAGTTAGTTCCAAAAATCTTTAAAAGTCAAACAGCAATTATAAAACTGTCTCACATGTTTCCTAGGTGAATCATTTTTACTTAATAAATAAATCTTGAAGACATTTTTTTGATGACTCTCCTGTAAGGGGAAAAAAGACGTTTACCAGCACTTTCAAGTAATATTTTCTTAATATTCTTTGTTTCTGCCTTCATATGAGTAATGATTCTTTTTAATGCTCCATTTCTAGAATATGTAACCCTCAAAGGAATTTATTGTTATTGCTGTGCGTATTCACCAGTTTGGCAGAGCGATAAATACTTGTTGACTGGTTGACTGTAACTTAAGTAGTATAAATGTCAAGAGATTGGAAATGATTGACCAGAATATGAATTCTGAGTTTTGTAGGTAAGAGTTAAGCGAATACTGAAACCAAATGGTAATTTTTAATGTTCCCTAAATCAGCAACTGTAGACTTATGACACTATTAAACTTCAGCTGTCTTTTACTAGAAGGCCATACGTTTATTTTACCTTCTCTTCAGGGATAAAGGATCATTTTGAATTGAGAAAAGAAGTATAAAGTATATGAAGAGAAAAATGATTTCTTATGTAGGTGAGTTTTCCCAAGAAATGTGTTTTCTTGCATATGTAGCGTTTGAGCTTGGTTCTTCTAAGACTGTTAGTCTTAAGCAAATATTTCTATTCAACATAGTTAAACATCATTTGGTCACTAAAGTGTTTGCCAGATATAAGTTAAAGAGCTTATAAATGGCTAATTGAACTTTGACTAAAAAGGTGTATGGGTCATAATGCCCAGGTCTTAGAGGGCTAACGGCAAATGATGAAGCAACATGACATCATAGAACATTCTGACTATTAGCGAAGATGGTTTTCTTTGAAAGGCTGATGCTCATCAGCATATTTGAGAATGGTGCAGTGGAAATGTGCGTATGTGTCTCGTGCACGTGCCTCAGCGCCCCAATGATGATGGATGGATGTACCTTCATATGTTTTAAGTAAAAAGAAAATGTGGACAATGTATTATCATATACATAGGTAAATGTGTACATGTGTGTATGTATATATTGTGCATGAACATGTACTTAGTGTGTATATATATTGTGTATGTATTCATGTACTTACATAAATGTGTTCATGTGTGTATATATATGTGTGTGTGTATATATACACACACACATATGCACACACACATAATTGTTAAATTATTTCCCAAATTTGAAAAGAAAACCAATCCACCATTAGATTTGATTATACAAAATAAGGGACTTCTAATGGGTTGCTTCCCAAATTGAAAAAGAAAACCAATCCACCATTAGATTTGATTATACAAAATAAGGGACTTCTAATGGGTTGCATTCTAAAATGAAAAACAAAATGGACTCTCTTATAGTTTTGTAGCAAGTCTTGGAAAGTAAGTCTTTTTGGTTTATTCTTGGATTGCTTTTGGTTTTAGAGGCAGTGTAGTTTTCTGGGTACAGGAGTTAATGACACCTGGATTCTATTTCTACGAAGTTCTTAAACAACTCAGACATGGCAACTTAAAATTTATATCCAGAAGAAAAGGCATATTTTAGAGATACATTAATGTGGTTTAAATTATTGGAATTCAGGCTGCTTTCTCACATTTGGATGGACATGGAGTAGGTGGCATGGGCTCAGTGAGAGTGGCTGGCAGAGGAGCGGTTCTGGGAGATTTGAGAGCACATTCTCTTCTTCCCCAAGCCTTGGCGCTCTCTTGCCTGACATTCTCCTCCTGACATTCCTGTGACTCTCTGCCTCACTCCTCTCTGGTCACTCAAATATCATGTTCTCTATCGAGGCTATCTTAGAAAGTACCCTTTCCCTCTTTTGCTCTTCCTGTCTTCTGCTTTATTTCTCTCATAGCAATTAGCAGCAGCTGATAACATAGTATACATTGCTTTGTTTATTTGACTTTTGCCCCTAGCATGTAAGCTCCTTGAGGGAAGCGACCTTGTGCACTGCTGTATTCTCAGTTCCTAGACCATTGTCTGGCACATAGTTGGGGTCAGTAAGTACTTGCTAAATTAATCTCACGTAAAGGAGGGCTCAGTCGGTGACTGTGCTTGTTTCCACACTTTAAAAAATTGAAACATTGATTATACATATTTATGGGGTACAGAGTTTTTATTTCCATACATGCATACATTGTGTGATGATCAGAGTAATTAACGTATTCATCATTGCAGAACTTAATCATTTCTTTGTGATGAGGACATTTGATTTCCTCTTCTAGACATTTGATAATGTGGTAAATTATTGTTAATTATAGATGCTTAACTTGACTGTACACCCATAGAACTTATTTTTCCTATCTAGCTGTAATTTTGTGTCCATTAACCAACCTCTCACTATCCCCCACCCCCTCCCCTTTCCTGTCTCTAGTAACCACACTTCTACTCTCTCCGTCAACTTATTATTATTTATTTATTCGTTTACTTATTTTTGTAGCTCCCACAAATGAGTGAGAACATGTGATATTTATTTTTGTGTGCCTGGCTTTGCTGATGAGGTCAGGACCAGGTTGGCAGGCCCCAGGAATAGTTTTAATACTTCTAATTGTGATTTGGATTGGATCTGAGAGGGGAAAATCTCTGTTCAGAGGATCCCTAAGAGTATCAGTTGGAAATGGAGTCCTGGAGAATCCTGGAATTCAAAAGCTTGAATCCAGGGTTAGAATTTAGTCAGCAGCTAGAGGAATTTCACAGATAAATTAGTCTTGGCATTTTATATTTATGATATTACAAGGATTTGTTTACATATTGTTTTCACCGTTAGTGTGAATGGTCCTGGGTGGCTAGATTCTATGTTATTAGTTTGTGTTTTAGTTTCTAAAAATAGTGTGCCATTAATCGGTGTTTGTTGGACGAATAAACTAATGATTCAGTTTTTGAATGGGAAGTATTAAAGGCAAAGGAAAATATTAGGCAATAGAAGTTTGGATTAATTTTGCCCCATAGTCTTTAGCACTGCCTTTTTCTCTATAGCCACACATATTTTTCCCTAATGCATTTATTTTGTAATGGTGTTTTACCTTCAAGGGAATCATGTCAGGGGACAAGAGGAGAAAACTGCTTTGAATAAAGACTTCCAGGCATTGCGTGTTCATTGCAATAAAATAAAATCTCTAGTAAATTTTGAAATTTGTCTGAAAAAGGAGCTTGCTTACGTCATATCTTCACCAGCTGATTGAGTAAATATATATACTTCAATTTGTATTGTTAGGGAGACTGGAAGATTAGGTAGGTTTTATATTTACAGAGGATTAGTTCACAAAACTGACACACATTTTTAGTGGACACTGTGGTGCCCCACCCAGATCCCTTATTCTTGCTTGGGGAAATTTCCTTCAGCCAGAGGTAGCTGTCTTGCCCACGGTTGTGTCCTCGTCTCTGGGGTCAGTCTGTGTGCAGTGACAGGTGGATGTGGGGATACAAAGCACTTGCCCCCTGTCTTTGGGACATTTCCAAAGGGCCACTCATGCTTCAGAGCTTGCTGAGAACTCTGCATTGCAGCTGCTCTTCTGCTCGACCCTGCTTCCTTCACCACTTCACACTCATCAGAAAGCTTCCTGCATGCAGAACTCTGTCTCAAAGTCAATTTCCTGCAGCATCTGCCTTAGGACAATCTTACAGTTCATTTGTTCATATGTTATCTACATATAAAGCATACTACACATGGGTTTAGGGTGTAATTTGATAAGTATGTTGAGCTATGTATAGGCTATGTATATGGAATTGAATTTATTTGAGTATAATAATCATCTCCCTCCATGGAAGTGTATAGTGTAAAATTGGCCCATCAAAGGTCAACCCATTAAAAAAAGACACTGATAGGTTGAGAATTTACACAAAAATCTGTAGCTCTGGATGAGCAGGGTAGTCTGGAATACTTTGTTATTTTAAGTTCATTGACTCTTGACAAAAGATGACTTCCTGTTTTTAAGAAGGAAGACATAAAAATACCTAAAGATATAACAGACATTGAGACAGTGCTTACAAAACATTACTTGAATCATTTAAGTGTAAATGAATCAGAAACATGTGGATTAAATTTATATCTTCATGGATATGAAAATCTTCTGGCTTAATGTGTTTTGGGGTTTCTTATTAAGACCCAAAACATTTGAAGAACAATTCGAGATGTTGAATGCCCCTGATTTCTCTGGATTGCCAGTTTTAACTCCATTAACTTAGACTTACCCTTATGGAAGGGATATAAAATGCATTCCATTTATATCTGCTTTGGAAGGCATTTAGGGCCACAATAATTTTTTACCTGACTTATCAATGTCATTTATCTGTATTCAGAGAGAACTTCACCCAAGAGGAGAAATTTGTTTTGTTTTAATTTGTAAATATGCTTTTCAAAGATTGTGTAAACCTGTCATTCTGTTCTGGGTATGAAGGTGCTAATGACACAGAGTAGATTCACTTGTGGTTTTATACAGACAGGGAGGTGGTTTTTCTCACTCCTCCTCAACAGTTGGGTCCCCAAATAAAATTCAGACTGTGGAATGCTGAAATATAGTGTGGCTGTAGTGTGATGGTGAAGGAGACAGAGACAATTGGATTATGTAAAAGGAATTATTTTAGCTTTCTGAGCACAGTCTCGAATCAAGCCTTCCCTGGAGAATAGTATAGTTATTCCGGATACAGAGTGGAGACATGAATCTTAGCCTTACCATCTCTTAGTTATGACCTTGGAGTTGCTATAAGCTAATTTTGTACATCTGTGATTATAATAATAGTACTCATTCAGAGCTACTATCAGATTTAATAATCTGACTTCTCTAAAATCTCATAATAGAGCCTGGATAGCTCAGTCAGTAGAGCATCAAACTTTTAAAATCTCATAATAGATTGATTGGCACATAGTAAATGCACAACAAAATTCAAAAATACTCAAAATGTTTATTGGTATTATTGCTGCCCAGCATCTCAAAAATAATTGTCTGTGTTTAGTTCAGATGTTATCCATTTTTTCCTCCATGAAGAAGTGTTGATTGCAGTGGAAAGGAAGAGAAGACGCTCATAGCTCCAGAAAACTTTCTTGGACACTTCCACTTGAAATTTCAGATTATTGCTCCTTACTTTTATTCTCTCATCGGAAGTAAACATGTTGCCTGCCAATCTTGTGCATCTTATTCTAATTCGAATATTCTAATAATTTATAAGGCATTAATTTTTAAATAATTGGAATCAAGTTAAAATTGGCACAAATGTATTGAGATCATTAGGTATAAGGCACTATTCTCAGAGCTGTGTGTGATTCCAGGTAGTAAAAGATAAAGCTCCTTGCTTAAAGAGCTTATAACTCAGTTGTGTAAAAGACATAAGATATTAGTTCTTGGAGAGCCAATATAGTGGAGTGGTCAAGAGTCTGGGTTCAAGTCCCAGAAGTCTGTTTCTTCCACTTGCTGACCATATGACCTTAACTGCTTCATGCCTCTATTTTTATATGTAAAATAGATATAGTAATAGTACCCACTTTGTAGGGTTGTTGTGAGGATGAAGTAAATTAGTATATGTAAAGTTCTTAAAATAGTGTCTGATGTATAGTAAGTACTATCTG